GACTGGGAGCCATTGGTATCGCCTGGACACCAACTCACCCTGCAAAAGCACAATGGAGGAGACCAAAAGTGACCCCTTACCAAAACAACCACCATATTACATATTATTGTGCATTTTCAGTGAAGATGAATCACTCAGTGACAGAATATCACTGAGTTACTTTTTTTCTACTAATCTGGCTGACATTTGTTCATCTATCAAGCACTGTTGGAAAGTTATTTGAGTTCTTACTTTAAATATAGTTTAAAAAATTATCAAATTTCATCTGATTGAAATCCGATTTGATCTTTGTATAATCATTACATTGATATCACACATGACCTTCAAATGTCAGTTTTTCAAATGCAATCGTTTGAATCCCGCTCACACCTAAGCAATGTTATGGCAATAAATACCCTCCTTTGACCCCAAAAGATCTGTTAGGAAAGACTACCTGTACGAATCGAACTCACGACGTAACATCTATTTTCTACAGTGAAATATCCTATTAATATGAATGCCGATTCAATAAAATGTTAGAAACATTAGCCTGGTGTTGTTCTGCCCTTTGAACTGTCTAACGCATTATATGCTATCTTTATATTGCAGATTGTTACGGCGGGTAGTGGAAACTCACCGATTTCATCCTTACCTCCATCACTGACACGCCTTCCTGAGATTGTATCTCGCCTTGAGAATTTGAAGAATGGAATCGCTGTTGGAACTGACCTCATCGACACTAGGGCAGCTTCCGATTCCGCATATGCATCTGTCGATTCAAACAAACGCTTTCCGGCTCCCACCACACCGTATGCAACACCCATAAATACAAGAAATGTGCTACAAAACCCTCTTTCTCGGTTTTACCTTCCTATGGAGGAGTCCATAAGTGATCTTTTACCAAACACAGGGCTCCACCAATCTCCTCCTGAGACCAACGCCATGAACTCGTCCATTCGGAAGCCGAGAGCAGTCCGACCTACCACAGTACAAATACCGACAGCTTCGTCGAGTATTCAACAATTATCACAGCACCAGTCATCATTCACAGATGCTTTGATGACTTCACCGAAAAGTGTTACTTCCCTTGAAGAAGAGGAGGGTGACCGGGTTACACTAAAGGAGCTCCTCAAGGCTTCTGCTTTCACGCGCAATTCTGAAGCATCTTGCAGTGGCACCAGTGCTAAGGTCGCTTCGCATGAAAACGACGTGGACTACGATGACCCCTACATTGACGAAGCTTATGATTCGGTAGGTGACTGCTCATGTGACTTGCGTTTCGCTGAATTAAATGCTCCCCAGGTATGTGTAACTTGCTACATATGTACCATTTCCCTTCCCTTACTCGTCTGTTTAATGTTGCATAGAAATTCGGCTCTATGGATTATGAAATTGTTCTTTTTAATAACAAACGTTAGTCGTCCATGTGTAATTTTAATTGAATCCAGCCTGACTATGATTGGTTCGGTTTTTTGTCACACTGTGACCTCTTCTAGACTACACACTAATGGGTTACTACATTTTCTATAAGAAGTTGATTGCGAATGAATGAAGCGCAATTTTTAGTGATTTCGGTTTTCCGTATTGTGTTCAGCAGACGCAGACCTCGCGTAGAAGGACAATTTACGACGCGCCCTACGAGGAAGGTGAGAAAAGCGGGGGTGGTCAGACTTCGGGCAGTGGTGCGAGTCCGGTCCAATTTCCCTCTCCCCCGAGCGCCTTCTCTCTCTACCGGCGACCGCTGGCGACGACTTTCATCTCGGGCGACATTCACTTCACGGATGTACCCCCGATGGAGTGCAGTGCCAGCCTCGTCACCGTACCCTCCACCTCCACCGCCTCGTCCACTTCCTGCAGCGTCTTCTCCTCTACTATCGCCGCCACAGCAACTGCTGGCCTGCATATCTCACCTCGTAGGCCAGACCACCATAATGCTGCCCATGTCAGGGACCCCTCAAAAGCGTCCTCTACGTGTGCTGCGAAATCTCCAACCAGTGACATCCTCGTTCTTGAGCCTCGACCCAGTCTCATAATCACGCATGTATGTCCATTCCTTTGTAACACGTGCGTAGCCCTTTTGAGGAAGTGCTGAGTTGAGGGAGTTGGTGATTAATGCAGATGGTGCTTTGAACTGTATAGAGGCCGCAAATCCGTATGATTGAAGCAAGCATCAAGATATTGCATGTTTACTCGTGTCTCAATTCTATTAATTTTATTGACGCTTCCTTTAAAATGGACTTCTTAGAAGGATGTATCATTTTACCTTGAACCTGCGGTAGGAAAAGTTTTAAGTGAAATAGAACATAGGTTACTGGGGCATTAGGGAACTCATGCTTTTTGTGTTAGATATCCGAAATGGGAGAGTAGGGTAATAAATATGTTAGCCAAAGAGTGCATTGCATTTTTTTTAAAATAATCCTGATAGCCTCGAAATTGGACTATGGAAGTAGGGTCCAGTAAATACCGGGACTGTGATTGTGAAACTGTCAATTAGTCTACGACTTTCCAGCTTAGTTGCACTTACTGTAGGTATGAGAATTGTTTGTTAATTTAGGATTTATTTATTAAGATAGGAATAGTCAGCATTCTAGGTTGCATCTTTCCATCATTAGCATATCTTTGAACATCTCCACAAGCTAAAAACAAAGACATTTACATTTCAGCTGCTTTTGACTTAGGGCAAATCTCTTTTTCCAAGTATTTATGATTTATTTCGGAATTATGCTACATGCTTATCGCAGAGTAAAGTTGCATCCTTTTAAATGCATCCGCTTTCAGTGGCACAAAGCCTATTCGACTTTTCAAACAATGCGCGGTAGAAGTTTGTTAAAATCTCGACCGTTCATTGCTGTGAGATAAACTTTATTGCTCTTCTTTTTTGTATCTTACTGGAAACATCGAAATACCACTGGCTGATCAATAAATAAAGGAAAATTTTGCTACAGATTAAGAAATTATAAATTTCCTGAAACGATGTATTTCATTAGCAAACGCGATGAGCATTTTCCTGAACTACCTCTTTCTTCTCCCATTTTAGTTAAAACCGCATCTTTCGAGATCCTCAACAACTTCTTCCTCTAGCCGCTCATCTTTCACAAGTAAACAAGATTCAGCGGCACAACAACATCACTACCCTTACCGTCAAGCTGTCAACTCCGGTCAGGCAAACTGCACCCCTGGCGTCACTGCCACTGCTGCTGCCGCCGCGACAACCATGTCAGTTGGACAGAAAATGTCTTCCTCTGTGGATAGCACCCTCTTCCAGATGGATCACAACTTAGGCAATGCGTCTGCCACTATGCTACTAGCAACGCCTGAGGGTTCGGGTACAGTGGGAACTGGCAGTTGCTGGACTCCAGAGACTATGTGTACGTTGCCAACAAGGCGGATGAATGGTTTTGCTGGAGGTCGAAGCCATCCATTACCCTCACAGCCTGTTTTGGCTGAAAACGAGCAGCTGTTGACATCAACTTTGGAAGAACTAGGGGACGCAGTTGCTTGGTAAGTTCCAGTCCCCGAAAAGGGTGTTCAACAGGTCACTATCTCCTTTTATGCATCTTCTTGGCCCCAATATAAACTTGATTCGTGCCATGCAACGTTTGGTTGGGTCCGCCGATACCCCCCATGTACCATTGTATTTTAAGTTCTTTTCCCCATTTTATCTTTATATTTACTTGGCAAAATGATAGAAATGCATTTAGCTTCTATCTTTGCCGTAAAATCAACTGCAACTGAAGTTGTAATTCTTGAATTTTTAGCTGCAAATGTGAAGCATTATTCCTTATTAACGCTTTAGCATTTTAAGGACTTGGGAAGTCACACCGACTTGAATGTAAGCCGCGTTTGTGCAGTATAAACAGGCATCCTTCTGGGGCATCTTTGCATGTTCTACCGATAAATTTTAAAACTGACTAGGTCCTATCTGGTAACTCATTATCAGTATACAATGAAGAGCCACTAGGAATTTTTGAGTACATGAATCATCGACTACCCTTCCATAATACCAACCGTTGCCATCACCGCACGAATACCACTGTTGAAACTGGGATCATAATTTACCTGTACTTATCATTATGCGACTTACCATTGGGTAGCATTAGCCAAAACCAATTCATCTGGATTGTGAAGTAACTGAGAATTTGGTGTGAGAGGTAAAAATGTGGCGTTTTCTGCTAAAGATCGTGACTTGTGAGCTCAGCACCATGATCAATCCCCCAGTTCAGATCACGGCTTCAACAGCGAACTTATTTTCGTGCATAAAGTAATTCTGTTGCTGCACCTCGTGTGCATAGGAGGCGCTATTCAGCCAAATCTTTTGCAAGCTAATCGCGTTATAAATCACTTTTAGGAATGGAGAAGAAAAAAAGCACATTTGTTAACTCCCTCACCATTCATATTCACTTTGGAAGGTGTGTCCGAATACGAATTCGCCAAAACAAATTTACGGACTTTTGGCCAATAATTATGTTTCATGGAATGTCTTGAACTAGATTCCAACTTTTACATATTTATTTTCCTACAAATTACACCTTTAGCTCACTTCACTGGCTATAAGAACGCTTGGATTGGTAATCTACTGTGAGTTAGTTTGCAGTGTCCTTCCCATATTATGTTGTATAATCGTGTTATTCCTGCAATAATAAATTCACTGATTCCAAAAACAACCTTTCCTTTATAATCAGGTTGGAGAAGGAACGCATCGACCTGCTAAATAAACAAGAACATCGACATTCCAACAGCCACCCTCGATCTCGACCGGGGCACAGCAGTAGTTTTGGACCATTATCACCGCCCAAAAAAGATCCCACCTTGACCATTCATACCTCTGTTGCATCCAGAATCAGCCCCACTCCTTCAGCAGCTACACATCAGCATCTTCACCCCCACACTTCAACACCCTCTCTCCGCTGGCTAAATTACACACTACCCACGGATGAAATATCTCCTTTGGCCAAATCGACCAATAGCCTTATCGAACAGACCCTTCTTCAACACAAAAATCAGCGGTCAGCTGTCTCAAAAATCATCACTTTGACTCGATCTGGTTCCTCCTCTGCGAGTCCTTTACGAAGAAACTGGGAAGGTAGCGACTCCTCAGACAATACCAGCGGCTTTCAGCCTCGTCGCCGGCGTACCACGACGCTGGTTCTAGCCAGTAAAGCAGCACCTACGTCGGGTCCTCAGACGCCGGTAGAAATGCAAGGAGTGCCGAGCAAAGGAAGCAACTCGGAGGAATTGGAGTTTATTGTATTACACCCATACCGGCCTCGACCGCACCTCACCAGCTTCGTCTCCACCTCAAACTGCAGCCTTTTAAGGTCGAACAATCCACCCCCTCAATCCACTACCACAGCAGCTGCTACCATTGCCGTAGCCGGTGGCGATGTTGCGCGTCTGCGGAAACGAGGCACAGGGGGGTTATTCGTCCTCTCAAGCTCCCCCCTGACATCGTGATACTAGTGTGGCTCACTGCTTTGTAAATTAGTATCAGCTTATTTTCTGCTGACTTCTAGAGTTTCAATGACAGGGATTATGCATGTTTATGTTTTGATGTCTATCTGCGACCAAATTGTATAAAGATACATGAGACAGGCACCTTGCACGCTGTTCCCATTACTCGGGTGGGCGATCAGGAATTCAATGGGTTGGGCAGCTTGAATATAGTGATTTTATAAAATCGTTTAGTCTTGTTTGCTAGATAAAGGAACCATAAAAACCCCATTTAAATTGAATTAACTGCGATGCATTCTATGACGTGACCATCCGCCAGAGAGGTGCGCAGATCAGAGTTCAGATGCATACAAATAATTGACGTTGACAGCTATCTTTAGAGTTTAGTTAAAGTCATGCCTCCCAGATGGCGATGGCTGATGTACCGGTAGTAATATCCAGCAGGGGCCATAAGGGCTTGATCAACTACTCAACATAGAGTCCAGTTTAGATGATCACGATGCTGCATGTGCTGATCTACTTTGTGTGATTTCTCAACGAATTTGTTACTGTACGAAAATTGGATACATTACGATTTTTGATGAGGCTACTAATTTGATAAGGGGTACACAATTGAGACAAGCCAGATATACCGACATCTTATGGATTTTTCGTTGGAAACAAAGTGTATTTGTGAAATTTGGACGTTTTGCTTAACTCTATATTAGTCTCCGCGGTCTATGAGATTTCTGCAGTTTGTACTTTCGCTCGGCATGATGGAACCCTGGCGATGCCTATAGCCTTCCAGCCCTTCTGTAAGTTAACAATAAGTCCTCCTTGTCGAAATGGCTTATTACAATGCTGGGGAGATTCGAAGAGCTACATATGCCTCAGTACTTTATTAGGGAATGAATGTATTAAACTAACGCGTGATCGGCGTTAGCTTTTACGCCGGTGGTAGGCGCCCTCACATAAATTTATAAAAAGCAAATAGGCTAAACGCACGGCCAAGGACTACATCAAAAAGAAACGAGAAACCGCAATAAGTTGAAGCCCTTCTAGATCATACGTTTAACTGCACGAATGCTTGAATCTCCACAGATCATGGTCCCAAACGGCAGCTTGGACAAAGGGCCCTGCCAACAGACTCGCAAACAACAGGCCTTTCACTGTACTAGAATGACTAGCACGATTCCAGAGAAGACTCTTAAATCTACTGCAATGAGTTGGTCGTTTGTTTAACCCTACTTTAGTAAAGGGGCCACTTAGGTGCTCTACTTCAATACTTGCATGATTAAACGTTTCTTTTAGAAAGTAGGTGGGCAGTCAAATCCAGCTTCATGCCCGAGGAACGGCCAATATCTCCCAAGCTAAAGAAAAGTCCCATTTCCAAATCTTCTAAACTTGTTTCCACCCCCATTTACTCTAGGCAATAAACAAGCCGAAATTTAAACACCCTTAGTGTACTAAGGGTATGAAGGCTAGGGAAGAGACGATAAGCGGAACTCGTCCTACATTATCATTGTGCTTCCACCGGGTGGGCTGGCCTCCGGGCCATGCCAGTAGCCCCACGCCCTACTGTAGGTCAAATATATACTCTGCCCTACTATCATATTCCCTCGGCTTCAGGTAAGTCTAGTTTGCTAAGAACCCTTTACCGATTATGAAGACGCCTTGAAACTCCGAAAATTGTCAATGAGTAAAAAAACTCTTGGGATAAATCTAGCCAATTGACTGTTGAATAAATAGACTATTTTTGTTTCAGAAGTATCTGCATACCTACGTATTTTTTAATAATGAGTCACTTGGTTAATAAGGCCGTCTTTTACTTTAGCAAACGAATTTGTAATTGCCTTAATTTGGTAGGACTTTGTCATCGACCTACATGGATTAAACTATTGAATATGAAAATATACATACCTGTACTCGGTAATTTTTTCGCTTTTGGCTCAAATCAAATTAATTTATTATTTAATAAAATTTGGGCTGACAATGCTGGAGAGATTATTTTATAACACTTTCCTGTAAAAGTTCATTTTTACTACTTTATCGTTAAGTTTTAACATCCTTCAGGTAGAGCGGTAAAGCAAATACAAGGCTGGTTTTTTAAAGGACATTTAGCTATAATTGGCCAGCAGGTTATTAGTATTGTAGCTAGGTTTGCTAAATCACAGCTGGATGTGTTAAGATGGTGTTTGAGACTTTAGTTGCTGACCTACTCAACAGGTATTTGGGCAATTACCTGGAGACTCTTAATGCCTCCCAGCTGCGTTTGGGATTACTGTCCGGTGGGCTTATGATGTAATGAATCTAAAGGAACTTTAGGTAATGTTTCCTTGGAGAATGTTGATGTGCGGGCTACTGCGTTTGATGATTTCGAAATACCTGCAAGGGTTGTTCAGGGCCATATTCGCACGTTTTTTTTGCACACTTACTGTTGTAATAGGCCACTTTGCGCTTAAAATTCCGTTCAAAAATCTCTACACTGAGCCCGTAGTAGTTGAACTGGATGGATTATATATTCTTTGCATTCCGCGTGCTGGTTTGAAACATTTTTTCATGTGAAATTTTTAAGATGTGGCTTATAACGAGGCGAAAGAAAAACAATATCGAAGGGAAGCAAAGCGGAAAACGCTAGAAGCCATTGAGGAACTCAAGCAGGAACGTCAGTCAGGTTACTATCTAGTTAAGCCAACTAAATGTGAATAGAAAAGGGTGACAGCCCCGATTCATTCTTTGAAAAATTGGCCGCGCAGATAATTAAAAATGTTCAAGTCAAAATTGAGAACATTCACATTCGGTATGAAGACCAAACAACCATTCCTGGTGTTCGATTTTCTACAGGATTGACTTTAAACCGATTGGCCTTCCAAGTACGCAAAAAATAAATAATTTGTGGCATTTCTCAGACTTGTGATAGCTCTGGAGAACCAGTCGTGTTAAGCAGTGACCTTTCGAAGGAGTTTTTTAAAGTGAGGACTTCCATTTCCATTCTATTTGTAGCTCGTTGAGTTGGATTCACTCGCAGTATATTGGAATCATGATACGAAAATGTACGCGGGTCTTCCTACTGGACTTCTCAGAGTATGGAAATAAAAAATTCAATTATTTTTAGAATGTAATGAGTTCCTCAGTTGCGAGCTCTGAGAGGACTGTTGTGGAGATCGACTACAGTAAGTTTTAACTCGAACGACTTATAGGCATTTGGACCTCGAGGAATGGCTAATTGCTTCTATGATGAATTAGTTCTCCGACCAATTTCATTCAACGCGCTTCTTCATGTGCACATGCAACCGGAGAAAGTCCAGTTCACAATTCCCCAGGTCGGAGTCGACCTAAAGTTCGAGGAAATCGAGGTCGAGTTTCAACATAATCAATACGTTGGATTGGTCCTTCTCCTCGATTCTGTCGATCGTTTAATGTTACGAAACAAATTCTGGAAGTATAAATCCCTAATTGAATCCAAGAATTATCCTCGTGCAAGGTATTCTTTTCTATTTAAAGCAGACTTACTGTTTGTGTGCTCACTAATTTAATCGTCTTTTTTCCATTTTTTGCACCACTTCTGAAGCACTTCGAGGTATGTTTGTTCCTAGATCACATTTGCGTAAATCATTGCTGAATTAGTTGCCACAGTTGCATTAACATTTATAGATGGCTATTCGCATACACTGCTGTGTTGGAAGAAATTGTCCGTCGGCGTTCTAACATGTGGTCCTGGAAACATATTCAGGAACATCGCCAGATGGTGCGTGAATACACGGCTTTATGGAGAAAGAGGCTCCTAAAGGAAAGTCTCACACCTGAGCAAGAAGGGAAAATTGAGGTGATTGGTTTTGCCATTTAATGCCTGGTTCAAAACGCCAAATTCCCAATATCTGTTTGGAGATTCTTGACTAGTCGTCGATTTCAGTGGTAATCAAAGTTGCCCATAACGTGAAGTTAAAGTTACGAAACTGCCAAGGGGTCTAGTCACAGCTAGTGCATGTAATAGTTCTTTTCAATTCTTCACATATTTATGCTAGTATCATGCACAGATATTAAATCGGGAGGTCTCCAGAACTCTGTGCGTTTTATTTTTTTTGTTTATAATATGCCTTAAAATAGACCTTTGCTCCTTTCCATTTACTAATAAATATTTCGGTCCTTAGGTGATAGACAGTTCCTACTTGACGAGTTCTCTTTGAGACTATGCATACTTTTTTACCTGAATTTCTAGTACTTCGAAGATGAATTGAACGTCATGAATCTCGCATTGGCGCGTCAACACGCAGAAGTTCAGGTAATAGGGATCACTTTCTTTTACTAAATCGAGTTGACAATTTTATTATGGCTTGTGGTTCAAGACTATTCCATGCATTTAATGACCGTTTTCTATCTGTTTTATGATTTGGAGTTGAACTATTAGATTCAGCTATCGCTTTCCCTGTATAGATTTGGAAGCGCAAGAAGGTAACATATTTGTTGTTTGTGAACTGGTTTGATCGTGCTGCAATGCCTCTTAGACATGATAAACTTAGTCTCTAGTCTTATGCAAAAGTCTAGGACCTATAGCTCGCCATGGAATCACAGTTTATTTTAAATCACCTCTAAACTATGCGTGGTGATGAAAACGTTTAACAGGCTCTACAAATTATTGCATTCACCCTCCTCCCGCAAAACAGACGGTTTATGTTTGTGGAGGCAGTATGACACTCCAATACAAAGTTGTGGTTAAACTCATTCGTTGTTCTTATTTTTTGCGCCCATTTACATACTTTTTTCCGCACTTCAAAAGACCCTCATTTTTCTCTATTTTCACTGAAAACTTATCAAATGACCGGAAAGTTGGTGTTGTTTTCGATATAGTTCGCTACACTGTGATTACTCTTTATTCTCTGTCATTTTAAGCACCCATAAGTATCGGTTAAGTCTGGTGTTTGTGATTCGAGCATGTCTGATTAGCGAATCCAAGCATAACGCTTGGAGAAGATGCGGTATCAAATTGCACCGCCCACTCATGGTTTAACTGAGTAGTTTGATGCATAAAGGCTAGGAAGATGGTCTAGCTAATGTGATGAATTACTTTTCGAGAACTCCTAGCATTGCTTAACAGGAGTGATGAAATATTTGGTTTACACCTCCACCAGCAGGGAAGTAGTACAAATTATAGGTAAATGAATGGCACTTTCACTGACATGCGTAATAAAAACCCACTGTTCACCTTAAGTCGACTAGTGATAAGAAATGGCCCTTACAGTCCAACGCTGAGCATGTGAACATATCGTTGGGTTATTCAAAAATAATTCACGTGTAAGGCAGCACTATTTCCAGAAGGCCATGCCTTGTGTTTGGTAAGCCGGAGATGGGGTCGTCATCCATGCAAAAGTCTCGGCTGAGATTTGCACCTTAGGATAGGTCTAGAGAGAGATACTACCTCATCCTACGCATTCTTCTCATATTTTTTCGGATAATAATTGGTACCTACGCACTCGGGAATAGTGTGCGAAAGAGTAGATACTCGGAAAATAAAAGTAAGGTGGTAAAAAGGATGGCTATGGCCCGACTTCTTGCCCCAAGAGTGGAATTGGGGTTCATATCGGGTTTGCTTCATTACTTTAGCTAATAAATTACTTTCCGGGGTTACTTAATCCCTCGTGAAAACCGCGAAGATGTACTCGTTTACCTTATACTTATTTGTGTTTCACTTACACATCGATTTCATTACCATCTACAATCAATTCGAAATTATTTTAAATCGCATTATAGTCACATAAAAGGAAGAAATTGCATATACGCTTGGTAAGATAGGTTCTTTTACTGTTGTTGCATGTTCCTAATCCCGGGAACTTGTTGTGTTGTGATTGTGGGAACAACTTTGTCGTCAGCATAACTCCTTTTTTTGCCTTTGATTAGTCTGATCAGCGTATTGCAATGCTGATTACTTAATCTGGTTGTGATTGCATCTAAGGCTTACGACCTTGATGACTTACATCCCGATTGTAGTCTGTCGTGGTTGGACTTCGCATGACCTTTATTCATCCTTCGGTCCATAATGATATCGCTCGTAATGCGTAGGGAACAGCAATGGAGAAGATGGGGCGGGGGATAAATAATTAGTGCTCAGATCTTTGAGCTTTATCAGTTTCTAGTCTTGTCTACCATTTACCAATTAACTGGTCAAAAAATTATTTCTACTTATTTGTCTAACTTGTATTTCCCTTCATATCTGATCAAGTGTATAGCGCAGCGCTAGGATTAGACTAGTATTGAGGTATTTTTATATTTTACAACCTCTACAAAGTCATAATTAAAAATGGCCCTTGTTAAGGTGTTTTTGCTGAGAAACCTTTTATCGACTTTTTAAAAGAAAATTACTAGTTTTTTAGCGGAGGTGCTTGTATCGAAAGCAATATGATTATTCAATGATTTTTTTTTTCTCAATTGATCAACTGATGGTGTATAAATTTTTTGCAAATTGGTGGAAACTACTCCACTTTTCATTGGAGGATTCACACGTTACTCTTAAATGGAATCGTCAATGTTTTAAAGAGTGTGACTGCTTCCTTAACCACGGAGTTGTTTGGGAACTTCGCTCGAAATCTAAATCCTCCTTTAGTTTGTAACCCTCCATTGTTGTGTGGCCAATTTTTTTTATCAGGCCGCGAAGAGCAGAGCTGCTAAGGAAAGCAGCAGACGTGGCGGTGGTGGTTGGTTCTCGTGGTTTCTTGGAGGTTCTAGCTCTGCAGCTTCAGCGACGGCGACTGGAGATACCTTGGCCACCTGTGTCCGAGGCGACGGTCCCCAAGTGATACAGCGTGTGCAACAGGAGATGACTCCCGAGGAGAAGGAGAAGTTGTACGCCGCCCTGAACTACTCAGAGGGCATGAGTCGCTGCACCTATCCCCCTGAATATGTCTCCACTGCAGTCAAGTTTTCACTCGGTGGTCTTGCGATCATGCTCGCAAACAATGACCTCAAGTATGTACCGATCCATATGCCTTTCCCTTATGAAGGCCTTTCATTTGTGAACGGAGAGTAAATCTATTATGACGTATCGGTAAAATAAAACCTGAAAGATTACCCAACGCGAGTTGAACAGTATATTGTGAAGATACTTACAAGATGTACTCGCCTGAAATATCCTGAATGTTTTGTGTTGATTGTATCAGAAAAACCAGTTACTAATCACTTGTAAATACAATAATTTACTGTTCAATCACGCCTTACTCCCGGACGAACGTTTCGCATCCTCAAGAATTTGTATATACGGAGTGGCTCTGGCTTTCGCATTGCGAAAGTGAGCGTCAAATTTCATGGGATATCTAGTAGGTTTGATTTACTTTTCCTTTCGTTGGGTGGTCTTTTTGCACAATAATTTCGGTCGATCATCACATCTAAGCCGATTTCATATTTTTGTACGCTTCCAATTCTAGAAATCCGGGAATTTTGAAGGTACAGTTGAACACCGTCACATCGGATTTCAAGCAGCGTGTAGGTGATAATGCCATGGAGTAAGTTTTTACTGGTATTGTTTGTTGTTGTTAAATGACGCTCAATTGGCGCAAAAGATTTCAGCTGCAAGTACACGAACCTTGCTTTTTGTGCTGTGCTTTTTGCAATCTATTTCAATGCCTCACAAGGTGAATTAAGGTTCAGACTTAAAGTCGATTTGGGCCACACTGCCTCAGAGTTTGATCTCCAAACATTTATGGTATAATGGATTCCGGGCATGCGCAACATTAGTGGGGAAAAAGTTTTACATTGTACTGCAGGGAAGATTCAGTGGATAAGTGCTGTAGCTTTGGTCGGCCTGGACCAGGAGGACCCAATTTGCACGACAAAGATGCAGTCAGTTTGAAGTCTCTTCCACGTAAGGCTAAGCAGAGCTTGCATCCAGATGAGAATGGACAAATTCAAAGGCGGGTACCTATTTAGGACCATTGCTACCTCCCCCCCTCGATACAGTCTGATTGGTCGCCTTAGCCGAGGACACGTCTGAACACCATGTTATCGTGGTATTATCATCACGGTCGTTCCGCATGCACGCATCGCAACAGTAGACATAGTGACTTAACAAGTACCACGAATGTATCGAGGTTCACTTTTAGTAATGGAAAGGAATTTTTCTCATTGATTCTATTGGATTAACATATTATCAAAAGGATCTGAATAATGCCCATTGTGTGTGTGGTGCTTCCAACTTGACAAGTTAGTCGTAGTTTTTCATGGAGTTAGATATTAAACAATGTCAGATCGTTGTGATACTTACGAATCGGAGGCTTAGCATTACATCAGAACAACTAGTCCCAATATATTTCGCGTAACTTTATACCAGTTTTAATAGAGTTCTTTTTTATTATTTTGAAACTACTCTTTGTATTAGGAGGATGAAAACTCGTTCAATACTTAAATTCGGAGCATAATATGACTTTTAATGCTCAAAGCTTTTGGGGGTGTTGCAGCTTTTTGATATTCGTGTTTTTAGTTGACTTTTTTACCTATCAGGTGGTTTCTTCGGTCGCTACTGCTGTCAATTCGTCCTGCTATGTCCTTGTAGTTTCTCCGTGCGTCTTGCGGGTTTTGAGGTGGTAGGACCGAGGAACTCCTCCACAGACACTGCCCCAATCCTTATCTCAAGCGCAGTTACGGGTGAATCTCTCCTATCCGTGGACTTTGCAAAGAATCCCATCGACCGAACCGCCGATCGGTGTCTTTTCATTGCAGCAGCTCCCCTTGATGTTATCTATGATGCAGATACAGTTAATAAGATTGTCGACTTCTTCAAACTACCTCCTGGTCTTCGTCTGGACGAGTGTGTTCCTAAGTACCTTATTTGCTTTAGACGCTAGTTCCTTTCAGTGATCAATGAGTTGCGTGGTGTTAGTTGCAGCGATGCACTTTGGAGGAAGCACTTTATTTGCCTCATCGTGGATTAGTTGTCCCTCTTTTAAGGTGGCCAGAGGATGCCAACAGCATTCATTGCTCTACTAATTTGTGGATCTTAACTTCCCATCGTAGTGACTTCCTGGCTGCACCAAATTTCTTAACGGCAAAAATTTATACTGAACCCTAAAGTTAGTTACTATTATCGGTAAAACTACCATTGAGTCGCTATTGTCCAAAAACCTTGCTTTGAACAATTTGTTTGCATCTCTCAACTGTTCAATTACCAAGACTCAGAATGCCTCATTAAGGTCGAAACATTTTACCCACAAAAGTGTTGTGCCAGTTTCTTGTGCGTTTTTTTTTCACACCCTGTATCCAGTCGACGTACTATGTTCTCTTGTAAATCATTTGATCGTAACATCCGCAAAGCTTTCTAGTGGGACATCGTTTTTCCAGCAAATTTGGAATGTACGAATTCGCAATTTATTCCCAAATGAACCTGAATTTAGTGAAGTCATTTATTTTCTTACCGTGTGCTGATTGATTTGCGCTGGAGTACTAAACCTTTCCTCATGCTGTTAATTTAGATATTTAAATTTCCAGCTTCTTGCGCCTTTTCCGTCCGGAAGTGATTGTAAAATGATCTTGCTATTATCAAAACAGCGCTGTTCAAGTTCTCTTAATTGTTGAAAAACTACAGTTACGTAAACTGCTTTGCCAGTCACATATGATCTTAACTTATAGTTTAAAAGTGTAATCTTTTGCTTAGTATTCGGGTACCACTTCAAATCATTACAAGTTGTACAGTTTGTTTCATTTTTTAGAGATAATAGGTGCACTTTTTAGTTTATTTATTGGCTAATTGATTATAAGATGACGTGAAACATTTTCCAGACCGGACTCTGGATTTATATTATTGTTATTGGGCTTTTAGATGATAATGTATATTCCTCTCAAATTATTCAATTTCAAGACCTATTGTATGCACCGAAAAGTGCCTCCTTGCCTTGTACCACGTAATGATATTTGACCTCCTGCAAATTGGTTCATTTCAAATCACTTTTTGATTTCAAGAAGGTACTGTGCGCATACTCCACTTTACTTTTCTACGATTGAAGTCACGTTTGGGTAAATCTTGGTGACAATCAAGACACAAGTTGAGTATGAGGCAAAGTACCCATTTTTAAACTTGTATTTAATTTATTCCAGAATATCCTCTTCGGTAATGCCGTCCCTGGATGAGATGAAGGCAATGACCACGACGGGACTGCGCCATCTTCTCAGTCGGCGAACCTGCCTTGATTTAAGAGTCGACATCCAACCGAGCTGCCTTCTGCTCCCTGAACGTGGAGTCTACATAGAGTGCGTGACACTCCCTATTTCTCACTTGTAATATCAGATTTACCCATTGGGCACAAGAGTCACAATGCCGTACACAAATATTTGCGGAATTTGGCGTCTCAGGCGTTTTTAATTATGAATTTTTATGCTAATTGTTCATTGTACGGGACTTTTTGAGCAAGGCGTTTGATATTACCTTGTTTCTAATGCTTATTGAGTAAATTGCACATTACATAGTTTTTTGGAAGTGCTCGCGCGCATTTACGTGCTGACACTACCTTAGGCGTAATTAGGTGACCGAAGTCAAATCTTTCTGCACTCTAGCTTCGGTTCCAGGATATAACCGGCACATTATCGTTACTTTTCATAGGAGATATGCGCAACAACTTGTTTTGACGCACTTTTTGTCTGCAATCTAATTATAGGAAGGCGAGGTGTGTCTTCGTGAATTTTTCGCAAATTTCGTTCGTAGACTAAGGGGTGAAGGCGCCTTTTTTTCAAACACCAGATTTCTGTTCTAGCGACTGAAGTATTTTATGATATAACTGAGTAAAAGTAGTCATTTCGCATATGTTTGTTGCATATTTTATAAAACTTTTGTTTGGCTTGAAAATTTTCCCCAAGCATTGGTACCTGGGAGACTAAAAGGATTGAATCAATGTATCTTATTAAGGCTTTGTAGAAATGGTTAGCTTAGGAGACATCGATTCGCCCCATAACATCAGCAACCCTATTGCTCCATCGGTTTTTTCTGATAGTACAGTACTGATTAAGAAATTATTACTTGGTGCACCGATTTTGAAAGCCTTTATTAAGTGGAACAAATAAGCCTAGCACTAAAGAGTGAATATCCATCAGGGTTCAACTTGTAAATGTATTATTAATCTAATCTTGTCTTATCATTACAACGGTGTTGTTATTTAACATTGCACTTTGTTGGAGTTATTTGCGTCTTTCAGGTGCCACATTTTACCCATGACTCAGGCTATGCCGTAACTTTCAAATCAAATCTTGCAAATTTTTCTTCTTTCGAAGAGGGTGCCGCCTCATCATGGTGGACTTTGGTAGCGTGAGTCTTCGATCAATGCTGGCCCATCAGGATCTGGCCCGGAGTGAGACTACCTCTGACCAGGTTAGTGTGGCAAGTCGGGCTTCCTCCGCACTCGTCGGCCGAGCGCAATCCGATGAGCGCTACAAGCAGCTATTGCAGGCGAACTACGAGCAGCTTTTGTTTGAGGCCTACGACCAGTTTGAGGTCACCTTGTCCGCCACTCAAATTATCTTGGTTCAAAAAGGTAAAGGACTGATTTTTTTCTTCTCACTTATCCTAATGCCCGCAGTCTATTTAATCGAATTTTTATTGCCTGTTAATGTTGGTGCGGTAGCTGGTTTGAAAGCGATTTTCGTAAATCCAAGTGATCAGTACCAGTGAACGTTAAAATAAAGTGGATTACGCATTTTGTCGTAAACTTTATTCATATCGTTACATCCACTCATTCTGATGTCGTGGGCATTACAAATCGAGAGTAAAACGGGTTTGTTTATTCCGACTAATCGTTCATCGAACTACCTCAATTTTAATATTTTAAGTTTAGGATTTTCGGCTACATTTGATGCCTTTCCTGATATTGTTATTCGACTTTTCGGTCAGTCGGCTACTGCCAGAAGTTCTTGACTACATAAAAATTTGTTTTAGTTTACTTGCAGATGTCGTGAATTGAAGCAGCTGTGTTTGAATATGCTCAATTTGCATTGAAGTAGTACGATCATTACTTTTGTGATAAATGGCAAAGATAGACACGGAGCTGTTCGATGATCTCCGGCTATTGAGAATTTTTCTTCTAGCTCTTATGGTGTTATTGAGTCATCAACACTTACTACGGGGTATATTGTGGATATTTATGTGGATACAGAAGCCCAATGATCTTACCAACAAACGGCTTTTACCTTTTTAGGCGAGAACTGGCGAGAACTGCGTTCGCTAGCAGACACACCAGGTCACGTGCTTAAGCCACTGGGTATCAAATTAGTGCTGCGTCAGTGCACTGCGCCACTCGAATTCGGCCTTCCGCAGTAAGTATTTGACCTAGTAGCCTGGTCCAGCCCTTCATTGCAATTGGTCAACATGACTGTCTGAATACTTGCCTCTTGAGGGGTAATTCCTGCTTGTGGTGCTGCCGGGACCTCATTGGTTGAATATTGTGAATACTTTGCCATTCCTTTTCCACGCAGTCGTGTTAGGATCTCACCGAACATTTATTTAATGCTTGAATTCAAGATGTGATAAATGGCTTGCCATCCAAGACCTTTTGGCGTCCCTGTGTTGGACGATTCTGTAGTTTTCTTTGAAACCCAAAGACTAAATATATTTTCAGTTATTACTATTCTACTCGATATTTATTTTTCTAGTGTTTGTGGTGTGTCAGTTCATTTGTTCATTTGACTAATATATGAATAATAAGTGCCCAAAATGCAGGACTACAGTACCTGAATGGTCATGTGCTTTCGTAGATTTCAAGTGGATGGTCGTCTCCCGCTCCTTGGGATCGACTTTACAGACAAGGTGTTGGAGTCCCTCTGTGACATCATCGCCCACGTACCACTACCCGAGACTGACCCTTCCCAGCGAATCCCTACCGACCCCAATGCTCTGCTGAAGGTGTGTACGTGTGTACTGCTTCACCTTGGGGACAGTTCTATCGTTTCTTTTTCCTGGTGTATCCCGTCTATTTACATTAAGACGATAAATTGATACGTTTAAGGCTTTCTAGTAGATTTATCCAAGGTAAGATTAGTTCCCGTATAATTCAAATAAATTTATACGTCAGACCGTTGAGCAGTGCATCTATCAAAATATCACATATTTGTGGTCAGATTCGATGTAAAAAGCATGGGATCTCTAACACATGCGGATTTACTACCTCTCAAAGCCGACAGAAACCCTAAATCACAAAATTTTATCAATCCTATGTCCAGTTCATTTTACTAGTCGTTTACGGACAATATGCATATCTACTGCTGATAACTCGCTGTTGCTCGCGGTAAATATGTAATTCGGCACAATTCTCCGTTTCTTTCCGTTTCTGGCCACATGGGATCATTCAGGTCCATTGTCCGGTCTTTTATGCTGCAAAAACTAACTTCCGCTCAACCTTTTCAGGATGTAAAATTCTTCGACACCAAAACCGAGGATTTGCTGCCAGGTCAATTGAAAGCTGTGCATGTCTTGCGAATGGCTGAAACTGCTCTCGCTCCGCCGTCTCCCGAATCTGATCAGGCAGACGATGAGGCCGACGTTTTCTTTGATTCATACGAAACTCCCGAAGCTTGCATCTCCTCCGCCGTTCAGGTTAGCCGCCCGACACTTTTCCTTTGGAAAGCAGCTAAAATTTTTATTTGATATTGCTTCTGTTTTTTTTTACTTTCCTCCCTTTTTAATTTAGTCGTCCGTACGCAAGCCTCTGGCGAATCTAGTCATGATTTGTGCATCATTTCTCGTCGAAGAGGTTAGTCTTCCCACGCTTCGTATTTCCTCTTCACTTCTAACTTTACACTATATCTACTTCCCTCCCTACTCCAGATTCGAATCTGTATGTTTGAACAGACAACCTCTGGAGACATTTCTGATCCGCCAGCTCCAATGTTGAAGTTCGTTATCAATGAAATTGGTGCAGACTTCACTCTACGCAAGTGGGATCAGGAAATGAATGTATGAATATAAAGAATAGGTTCATTTGTGATAGTCCAAAAATTCTGCCAGATGCCCAAGATGCCTTTGCTTAATGACTTATAGGAGAATTTGCACTTCTTGTTTATACCTATTTCAGTTGGAGCTCAGCCCACGGATTAGACAGTTATTGTCAACCGGTAAAAAGTTATCGTGAAGTACATTGTGATGTTCTACGAATGCCTTGCAAAATACTTCCTTGAAAGTTTTTACCACCAGATTCTTCATGGGCTGGTGCTCTTCTCACTACATAACTGGTCATTGTTTCATTCCAGCCATACGTATTAAGTGTTCATCGTTGCCCAAATAATTATTCTCGATTATGCCGCACCGAATTTACTTTAAGTAAAAAAAGAACTTACTGAAGTTAAATTGAATCAAGTTAATCAACTTTCGGCTTTCATGTGTAGTTAGTGCAAGGAGTTACGAAAGCATTACCCACTAACTCGAGAAAAAGGAAACCTTAGGGGCATGAATTTGCAATATTAATTAGGTTTTCTTCTGAAAATTACTTAATTTATGTTTCCAAATAATGTAGCAACCAGTCAATTAGCCCTGTTACTAATGTGAACTCACGGGCGCAGTCATGCTCCTCTTCATCCCAATTCTTATTCAAGCGGGTTTTGTAAGGAAAGCCATGGTTGGATCGAAAATGGTTATCTTTTCAATCCTTTCGTTAGAGATATTAGTTTGTTTTCAGGCCCATGTGAACCGTTTGAGTCTGAAGGCGCCGCGATTTAAGGAGTATGGCAGCGGAAACGAATTGTGCCTGATCGACACCTTCTCTAGGTCGGATGATCAGACCACTCCAAGCAGTGAACACCTCTTCACAGCACACCTCCTAATTGCGGACAAAAGTGGTCCCGATTTCGCCACCAAGTATGCGAATACGCGTCACTGTCTTGTTTGCGAATTTAGGGTCTTGAAGGTGAGCTTACCTCTTCTCACTCGTTTAATTTAGCCCGGTTCCGTCGTGATTGTGCCATATAGCGATATTTTTGACGCAGTCTACTGTTCTATTGAATTAGTTCCTAAATGGCGAAATAGGTCTAAGAGCATTTTATAATCTTGTAAACATATTTTTTAGATTATTCTGGTTCATCATCCAGTGGGAGTGGCTGACATTTTCTTTGCCTTGATCATGAAGGCTTCTTTGGCCGCGTGCTTTATAGAATGGTACAAACGGGTGGTGGTGTTACCAGCCCTTTAATTTGCCCGTTCATCGGCTTTAGGGTCACTTTGCACTATGTAATCTAGCCTACTACAGTCTTTTAAGGGTACTTATATGGTAAATGGGCTTCGAAGAGAATAGGATGTGCCGACTTGTAGGTTGTGTGACGTGCGGTCGTCACGTGAGTACGCGGTCTGTACTGCCTGTATTTGACCTCAGCACGCTGAAATGGGGTCGGCGAATGGCATGGTGTATGAAACCGTAAAGTATTTGACATAGGCTAGTAATCCGAATTTCAGTTTCACACATTTAGACTGCGCACATTTTCCAGATTCGGCACTTGCTATAGGCATTCTGGAATTACATTTAAGTCAAGATCTACCAATCTTTATTTGACTTTATTATGGAAGAGATAATGAGGTTTGATGTCACTGGGATGTTTATTTTTCGTATCGAATGTTAATCGTGTGGTTACACAAATCAAGGAGTTAATTTAGGAATTGCGTAACTCTGTTTCATCCATCGCAAGGATCAGCTTACTAACGCTTAAGTGAACAATTCGTTAGCCAGAACTAAATACAATGGATGGTTTATTGTCTTCTCTTCATATTTCCGTAGAAGTACGCATCACTGTTGCAGGTAAGCTTAATAAATTTGGGTCATTGTTGAATCGTTCAAGGTGCATATTTTGCCATAAACGGCGCCGCTTTTTACGCCGTAGCTCCATGTTACACGTAGAATTTCATTCGTCGAAAGTCGGTTTACAATTAATATTCAAACATTCAATTTGAATTCTGGGTATTAAAAGTGAGCTCTGGTACACATAGTCCAAATGAATATTTGGAGCGCTTTCGACCTAAGCTGCCAGATAGCTTCCTACTACTCAAAACAATTGCTTAAGCGGTACATAACTGCTTCTGGCTTATTTGTACTAATTTGGGACGGTGATGATCGATGATACCATGCTGATGGATTTAGTTTTCAGATTTGGACTTGCGATATATGCCTGTTTTCAAGCTCCATTATTCCTTAAAGATTTTTCTCGAAATTTAGATTCATCTGCACCAGGAAGCCCTGGTCTCCCTCTTGGGTTTCTTCACCGATTTGGCTAAGGTTCTCGCTAAGGATCCGGAACTAGGTGCAATAGAGGACAAGAACCAAAAGGCTCTTGAATGGGCTAACCGCCTCGGTGATACGGAGGCTTCAGAGCATCTACAGACCAGCTCAGTGATGACGCCACACGAGGCTCGTCTCTCCGCCGCCAAGACAACTCCTGTCGATGCGGTCTCTGGTCTTCTGGCCAGGAAGAACGAACGTCGTGACATTCGACTAGACGCTGTCTCCGAGGCCGCTAAAATGGGTTAGTTCGTGTAATTTATAGCCTTTATTGGATACCCTCAAAAATATTCCATATGTCAGCCTTCTATTGAATTAAGGCTTTACACCTTATGGGAAGTAACAAATTTTAATGATGAATAGTTTATTGTAGCTGCTGTTAAATATCTGGCCCGTTCATTCGGAGGAAAAAATTGCGTTATTTTACGTAATGCAACACTTTGTCTGTAAACACCTCACTAGTTTTGTCCACAGATAACTTATCATCTTTGGTGCAAATATTTTGTCCAAATGTTATTATTAACCTTGTTCTGATGTATCCTGTCATCACGCAGTATTTCAATTCAAACAGGACGCTATCTGAGGATTCCTGAGGTCGATGCCACGCAGTGGAAAATTCAGCTTACTTTGGATAAGGTCCAAGTCTTCTTCTGCTCATCGGAGATGCAATTGATGGCTTTCAGTATGCGGGGTATGCGTGTGGATCTTCGAATGACGTACCTTACTACTGAGATTGCGATGGCTCTCTCGGACATATGCATCTCTGATCTCAATGAAACCTCACTTTACCGGCAGGTTAGTCTGATTTCAAGTTTAGTCTAGGTTATCAGCACAAGCTTAGTTTTCACCATTTGGCCAAGGTTTTCTGAACATGTTCCCATTTTCTCTTTACCTCTGGTTGTCTAGTTAAATTTCGTAAAAATACTCGTTATTCGCCCTCATCCTTGGTGGTTTTGATGCTCCACCAATATGCCAGGCTTGTCTCATTGTTGCTTCCCAACAGATGTGTTAGGCAAAAAGAAAAGCTGAGAGCTTCTTTAGTATCTTTCGGCTTTCACACGTAATATCCATATGAAATCATGCAAGCCAATTTAGCTGAAAAAATTATAATCACTAAACTTGTTATTGAGTCCCTTGATGGTCAATTTATATAATTCCTACTGAAAAGGCGGATGAAATGCTGGCGCAGCCTAGTTCTGTTTAGCGGCGTCCACAATGCAAATTTCCTCTCTGCTTTTCAGATACTTTGGATTGAACCCGGAGCAAATGTCTTTTTGATGCAGACGGTCTTATACAATCGAGGCACGAAAGCTTTGGATGATCAGTACGACCCCGAGAAGGTGGATGTAGCAGTCTGTTTGCAGTTCGGCAAAGCCCACGTAATTATGCTCTACTGGTTCCTCCGAAGAGTTGTTGTGAGTACTATGCTTTTTTCTTCCATTGCCTCATGATTCGAACCAATTACTGCAACGTCTCATTTTGTGTCAAGAGTTTTATGGATTCGTTCAAAAATGCAACTGAATACGCGATTGAAAAGGCTTCAGAAGTAACAGGTGCTGCGAAAACACAGGTGCTGTCACATTTAACGTTCCCTTGTCTAATCTTCATTAACCTCTTCATGGATTCGCATGTACTTTGTGCGGATTCAGACATTTTACACAAGAGGAATTCTCTTGCATTTTTGTTTTACACAGATACAAGAAGTGGTGAATCAACCATTGCCACCTAGATTGGCACTTTCGGTGAATGTGGAAGCGCCAGTGATCTATATGCCACAGAATTCAACTTCTCGCACAGCTCTCGTTTTCGACTTGGGTCGCATCTCAATCAAAAACCATTTTGAAGTTATACCGAAGCCTGTCTTGTCAAAGAATGACCCCATTAATATGCTTATGATGGACTGTATGAGCGTTCGTCTGGAAGACTTCAAAATGTCAGCGTAAGTTCTTCATTTCTTATTTTTCCTTTTTTTCTCATTCATTTCACTTTACAATGCTGGCCTACGAATCACATCACCTTTTAACGTGGTTTAGTGCCGGTATTTTTTGGAAAAAATTGCCTGTCAGAACCGAAGTTGCTCGAGTTTACATTTTCTTAGAAGGAATTTAGTTTTTCCTTGTCAAAAGTTGACAATTTTAAACCCATAAGGACACCCTGTACACTTTTTGGGGTAAATTTCTTTATGCACAAATATGAATGAACAATACTGGTCGTGGATATTAGTGTGTCTGAGGTATTCAAAAATGTCCGAAATAGATTACGTTCTAGAGAGATGCTGGTTAATTCTTGTGCAACAATCTACTTTGATGTCATAAACAATTCAATTCAACCGTTAAATGAATTAGACCGATTATTGTATGATTAAATTTTTCGTTAGTCCTTCCCATTAACCCCCTCATTATGTCAAGCTGGAGTGATGCCAAAGCACCATTATTTACTAATTGTCTTTGCGTTCATATTACTTGCAATTTATCCAATGGTTAGTCAGATCTTTTTTGCCTGAACTTACATCCTCCGCTATTGTTTTACAACTTCATTTTATTTTAAATGCATTGCTGAAAGCGTAGGCGGAAGCACTATACACTGGTCACCAGTTGGAATAAGTTGCTTTAGCAACTGCATTTTATCTACACCCGGCTTTCCTTCGATGCATTTGCTTTAAGAGACGAAAATCATACGTTTTCCCGCATCTAAAATAATAAATCTTAATCGGTGTCTTACCGTAGTGGGTACTTCGCAGAATCCACGGGATCTAAACGGCGACGATACATCCGCTCACTTTCTTATCGCCGCAAGTAAAACTCCAGTTCACCAATTTTTCAACGCTATTTTATTCGGTTTAGTTCTCCCTCAACCTCTCATGGCTCAGTGGTTTTTGAAATCCTTTTTTTTCGTATTTAGAGCTATCCTGGTCGATGGAGGAGTGGAAATTGACAGAAATGTGATCCAGCCCATCAATTTGAGTCTGAACATGAATAGAAAGGTGTTCTCCTCTAAGGGTGATGGAGTTCCACAACTTGATGTCTCTGGTGCTCTCGAATCCATTCGAGTACGTTCCTCATTGCCCGTTGTTGCTGTAAATAGTTAGGCCATATTTGGCTTCCACTCTTCACCGAGGCAGTAGCGTTTGGCTGCGACTTCATTTTTTTTTCGCATTTCCCTGTACCAGTAATAGCACTTTCTGTTATTTGATCGAGTAAGTCTTCAAAGAACCGACGTTTTCTTAATAATTTTTTTTCGAGAACCTATGCTTGCTCGTTTCAGCTTTCAATGACCTACGGTGACTACAAACTGATAAATGAGGTATTTCTTGACAACTTTGAGGAGGCCGATTCCCTAATGGGCTCACTTCCCATATCTAATCCGACCAATGTGGCGACTTCAGAGGATCCTGTGATTGTCACTGAGTTGACTACTCAAAAGGCTGCCGACGTCTCAACTTCCGATTCTCTAGATTCGGCGTCAGAAAAGAGTGCATCTTGGACTTTTGTTCTAAGGCGATTGGAGATTGAACTGTTTAGGGGCACTGATGATCCGGTACGCTTATGAGAGCGTGTTTAGCTCCTTGTTGTCTTGATCTCAAATCTTCCAAAGTTCGTTGGTCCTTCTTATTATGCGTCATATAACCTGGTAGTGAAGTTGATGCAGATATGGTGGTTCAATTCTATTTCTTAACTTTCGTGGTTACGATAGTTATTTTTACTCGATAATTGGTTTGAAGAATCACAATTTTAAACCCTGCTATTGTGGATTTAAAGTTAACGTTAGCACTTTTTTGTTTTATGGGTGATTTTAGCGAAATTGGAATGACGAGATTCATGCAAGCCGACGCCTGGGCGTCTTTACATGCACAGAATTATTCCTTGAGGGCGATTCATTTGATGATACCTCTTCAAACATGATGGCGCGTCTCAAGGATATCTCACTCATTGACACGCGGCCTCACTCCGACGAACACATAACTAAGTACGCTCTGTAATTATTTTTATGCAAACAACTGAGTAAGAGCGGTAAAAGTGGAATCCAGGTGACCCGATATGGTGAAACCTGTTAAACATTAATTGCTGAATATTCAAGGGTGGAACTGTTCGCAGTGGGCTCGATTCGATGTAACAGTAAAAGAATTCAAAATATGGTTCTTTCTTAACTGCTCCATGTATACACAAAGTGCGTCCAATGAAGTCATGCGATAACTGTCTGAATGCGCTGTTAATGTTGGAGTTTATTGTGTCCTTGTCCAAGTGACGTCGGAAATGGGACTTAATTGTAAAGTTTCGGTGTATCATATTTGTCTTGCCTTTCGCTTCAATCCTTTTAGCAGTTTCATTTACCATGTAATTTGTCGTCTCAAGATTGAATTCAAAAATCCGGAAGTTTTCATGATGAAAAGTGCATTTCGATCTCGCCGTGTTTATGTTTGAGTATGTATACATCCACAGGCGGGACACTTCACTTGTGGATTGAGTCTGGGGTAGCTTTCGCCGCGTTCCGATAATGCTATGCCTAACTATAACGGATTTTCTTGAACTACTGGCTCAATTCCGTTAAGTGTCTCAAAGTGTCTCTGTTTCCCTATGCTGATTGAGTTAAAAGTACGGTCATAAGGCAAACTTTGACCACGTGACCAGAAGTCTGTTTGAGATTGCTAACGAATAAGTGCAATATTGAAACTCTCTCGTGGTTTTGTCATCAATTCTGTCATAATTCACCTAACAGCTCTGTGATTTACCGCCTTATGGGAAGATTGCTTACACCTAATTTACCCATAAATGCTATTTCTGCCCATTTAAAAATGGTCTTATGAACTGGTATGCAGCGTTCGTGTTGTTATTTGCTTTTTATTCTTTTCTTTCGACTGGATAATTCCAACTTCTTTCCCTTACAAAGAGGTACTGCTTTAGGGTAAGCAATTTGTTCGTCTCTTCCCGGAAGGCGTTGTAGCTCTCCAAGCCTTTCGTTTATACAAGCTTTCAATTGTCAATGGTAGCGGCACACCATCCAGTTACTACTTGTTTGTCCGCATTGGTTATCGCTTTTGGTTGTTCACGAATTATGTACTTTCGATCTTACATCTTATGAATTTTTGTCAACCCTTCTCGATTTCAGTATCCTCAGTCAGGCGGGTGATTCGCAAGGCCAGATGTCGAATTTCATTGAGGTCCTCTATCACTCGGATAACCAGTCAAATCAAACTTGTAAATTCTATTTGTTACTTCTCTCTGTCTGATGCCTTGTTTTCACTCGCTGGGAAAAGTCTAATTGGCTACGTGGTTATCTGGCCTCATGAGGTCGTTGGAAAGTGCTCATAAATGCGCTCATGTGGCACATGTCCTTGCACCCAGCGGGTATCTACTTGTATGAAGTGTAGAAGAGTTTTCAATTTTGTTGAGTATGCTTACGATTTGATTGCCATTTTACTATTGTAGCTTGGGTAGTAGAGTCGAGGACAAATAGTATTTTAAAATTTTGGTTGGCCATAAGTAAACGCATTATTTGAATGACTTTAAATCCACATCTTTTGAATTTGTACATCCACTTTTTATGTATGTCCATTGACCAGGCTCAATCAGCATTTTCTACAGTGTTTTCAAGATGTTCACTCCTCACAATCATGGAATGGTCCCTACTCAGGTTGCGGGTTTTCACTTGTCTCAAGACAGGTGATTTTTAGAGTCACCTTTAGATAAAATCGTTTAATTAGGCCAGCTAAATGATTCACAGAAAAAGTGACGGAGTAGCTAATTCCATTTTTTCCTACTTCTGTGCACTGCATTCCGAAAGAAGTTAGATCACCAATATCCTAACCTTGTCCCCTCTCGTTGCAGTGAACGTGAATGTTTGTAGCATCATGGTCTGCGCCTCGTTGGATTACTTCATGATACTGTCCAAGTTCTTCACCGAGGGAGCACATCATAGGAACAGGCCAGCTGCCAAACCCAGTCCTCCGCCATCACAGAGGACCTCCGTCATGAAGCACAGACAACGTGAGTTTTCTCTTGTTCTTAGCTTACTTCAGTGCCTTAATACCCTGTTTGCCCTCTTATAAAGCTTAGTAGTTTTCAAAATTTTATGTTCATTTCTCTGCTTAGCTCAACGCACCACAGTGTCACAAAACCCCGGCACTCTTCGAATCAAGACCAACATTGCGGATCCTGAAATCGTTCTCCCAGAAGATATGTCAAATCCTAATTGTAATGCCATTCTTGTAACGGTATGTTCAACCTACCGTTTTCAACTCCCAGTTCTATGCCAAATAATGCTTTATGCTTAAAAGACTTGACAGTCTTAATAATGTAAGAAGTAGCTTCACCCGTTTAATAATGTACACTATTTTGGGGATTTATTCATGTCAAAGTGTGTCTCTCTTAGACGAGTTTGAATTTTGACTATGCGATGCTTCGAGAAGAAACGGTGATGAATGCCAGCATAACCAAATTCAGAATCCTTGCTTGTCCGTTCGATCGTAGTCAAAGAGACAAAAACAGCATGGAGGTGAGTTTTTCAAACTAAGCTCTTTCACTATTCCTGTGTCCGTATTTATCTTACGATTTTTGGTATCTATTGGGATGGGAGTTGTGAGATTCACCAAACAGTCCTGATAGTAATGCTTTTATCGAAACCTAAAGGTTGTCGTTCCGACCTCAGTATCCTTTTATGCCCGTCAACCGGTCGCTGCTGCACTGCACGGATCAATTAATATGGAGTCGCTACTTATCAACGTAAACGCCCCCATCATCCGCTCAATATCAAAAATTATGAACCAACTGACCGAAAGCGCCATGGATGTCTCCTTAGTGCCTCAGACTGTTGGTGGTTCACAGCATGAAAAGACTCTAGGTGACGATGGGACAGAGGATTTTTGGTCAATCAAGCCCGTCAAGGCTTCTGATATCCCCATCCCTATGGGTCAGATTGACTATGATGGTATGTATTCCGCGTGTTTAGCGAAGCAAAATTTTGCTACATGCTTTTATTGTGAGGGCAACTTAAATTGCAGGCGATTACACTGCCAGTCGCACAGTTCTTTAGCGGAAGTGTATTGCGTCACTGCTTTTGAACTTGGCAAACTTCCCACTATTACACGTAAAAACACCCTAGGTTTTCAAATGAGGACCTTACTAGACTTTCTGTTAGTACAGTACGTGTGTAAACGCCGCATCATAGTGTATTTTCACTTTCTCTCATGTACCCTCTTTCGAAATGGAGAGAAAAATTGAATTAAAACTTTTTGTTCTTGCGTTTGCAGTTAAGACGGCTTCAACGTGCTCTGCTTTCTTTCAAACTGTTATGGAATCTCACATTTACTTTTTTTTATTCATTCTTACAGATTCAGCTTCAGAAGGTACGGAAGGCTGCGATGTTGCCGACATTCTTATGAAGGTTGACGACGAACGTGTGGAGAAGGCAAGTTCGGTATCATTGCTATCTCCTTGTTTAATGCTACACATTGAGTGACCATCTAAAACGCTAAATGGTTTTTCCTAGTCATCTTCTGATGAGGTATGATTCACCTGTTCTGAAGTTGTGAAGTTTCGTCTCTTTTTGGGTTTGCTTTTAATGATTTTTACGGGCCTACGGACGACTTTCCTTACATTTCTAATTGACTTTTTCTGCTGTTTCAATCAGCTATCAAATGTAAAAGTTAGATGTCCGTTTGCAAATTTGTTACTACTGATGGATTTGTAGTCAATTTATTCACTTTTTAGATTCTTATTCGTATTGGCTACGTATGTTTGTCAATGGAGTCACAGATTGGTAACAAGCAGGTACCCATGCTGCTTATGGAGGCTCACGTTGATGGCGAAATGAAATCCCCTTCTACTGTGGTACGTATTTTGCATATATAACTTGCTTAACGATAATTTACGATGTTACCGCCTTTTGTAGTTCCCCGAATCATTCCACGCTATCGACTTCATCAGTTAATTACTAGTAATTTCTATTACTCTTGAAAAACTAAATACAGTGTGATGTTTTACCGGATCCCCAAAGTCAATTTATTTGTTTAAAAGTATGTTAACCATATGTTTACCTTTTGTAAACTTCGTGTAATTTTAAAAGAGCAAAAGTGCTGCGAAATGTATTGAAGTGAAATAGCACTTTTCACTTACCACTTGTTTGGCAAGTTTTTGGATGTTAGACTATAGTTTCTCCTATGTTTTATAGTCCTAATTTCACTTCTTTGTAGCTTGAAGTAAGCTTGAACTTTGAGCTCACGGTTTCTTATTACAATGATCATGTGAACGAGTGGGAGCAGTTGCTGGAGACTCTACCAACAGAGGACAATCGACTCTGGTCGCTTCAGGTGGGGTACCACTCGGCGGAGCAGGAGTTTTTCTACACCAAGAAGGAGTGGCAAGAACTTTCAACTCTTCAAAACTCGGGTCGCCTTCTCACTTTTATTTCACAAGATAATTTGGAAATCACCATCTCAAAAACTGCTCTTGATGTTCTGAGCAAACTCGGCAAGGCAAGTTTTCCTCGGCCCATTCCAGGTGCCGTTAACAAAAGCTTTAAAGGCGCAAAATTTGGTTGCCTTTTTTGACTTTTTTAAATACATCTTTCATCTGTTGCAATCCTCTAGTCCTTTGAGGAGGCTTACGTGTCGCCCAGACCCGTGATACCCCTACGAGAGTCAATTGAAATAAAAGCGCCCTATGTGTTGCGTAATCAGACGGGTCTTCGATTGATGGTGGTAGTTGACGGACAGCGATTGCGCACCACTGACGAGTCCATCTCGGCCAAATCGGCCTCTTCACTCAGCCTCGGTGCTGCACAGCAAAAGATCGGACTTGTGGGACATGTACTCGAAGCGGGACAAAATCTTGGCTTCTATGATGTGCACATGAATAAGATTGTAAGCCAGTCTTGGTGTAGCTCATCGCCAAATGCAAGCCGCTTGGTTTTCGAGAGTCACAGTTGTTATTACTGCTGAGCGGACCATTATTATTGACATCTTTTGAGGAGTATATTTTACAAGAATTAGTCTCCGTAGGTACAATACTGGACATTGCGAGTACTCGTTCACGGAATATTACTCTAGGTTATGGGAGCGTATTGGTCTGCGGCGGTGGGCTGCTGATTTTCTTTTTTCACTTAGATGTATGCCTAATGCTGTGATTCAAAAGTCTATATGGCACTATTATTGGATCAATAAATTAAAATTTGTCTAATATAGCTTGAATATCTTAATTAAATACCTGCGTTACCTTTCTGATGGTTTAAGCAAAGGGTAACAGCTACTGTTGCCTAATCAAAATGAGTGTCGATGACCTCTTTTTAAATCCTAGCCAACAGTACAATACCTCAGGTCAGCACCATTAGCTCCGCCTCGGTTCATCAATATCGGCCTTGCCCCCAAGTCAGTGGATCTCATTAATGATTGGGGCGTCTTTGCCTCTCGAACAGCCGCTTTAAAAATACATCGAACCGCAAATTACATAGTCTCTGCGGTCTCCATCAATGACAAGGAAAAGAGCCAACCGATTGTCGCCACCATCACAGCCTTTTTGGGACAGAAAACGCTTTTCTTGCAATCCACTCTCCAGGTACCAACAACAATCTCATAAGTACTTTCCTTCGATTACGCTTTACAATCTTTTTCTTCGTTATATTTTCCAAAAGTCTTAAATAATCCCGAAATAGCTTAAATATTTTTTAATAGAACTAATGTGTTGCCTACTGTTGCCTTCAAACGTTCCCCAAACTTCCATCGTTAAACTTTGAAATCTTTTTGCAACATCAGACAGTGACCTTTTTTAATAACTTACGGGTCTTTGAATTGACTTTTAACTTGAATGCATTCCTAATGCATTTTTCCCTTCAGGTTGTCAATGAAACACCCGAGGCCATTAGAATTTTCTCACTCCTCTCCCCCACCTTTTCCGATGCTGTCGCTCAAATACAATTGTTGGCCATAATTGCAGGTGGTGGGTCCTATTCTCTGCCTGTAGAAATCGTCACAAACAAAGAAATAACCGGTATCAGGATGTGCCCAGATTTGGAGGGGTATGTGCAAAAGTTATCACGTCATTTTATCAATCTTCAATTTTTGTTAATTTTTTTAATATTTTTCGAAAGGCTGAGTTTGAGCTTAGAAACGGTAATCCCCCTGTACTTCGATTGTATGAGCTACTTGACCGTTTAAGGATTTCTGAGATAGATTATAAATGTTACACTCTGTGAATCCATTTACACTACCCTTGACGACGGTATTGTTGAAAGCATCATTGGGATTTGGAATGGGAGAAATAAATAGGGGATGAATATATGAGGCATAACCACCACGCGTACGTCTTTTTTAAGAGCTGCACCCTCCACTGACGTGATCTACTGGCCACCCAAGGTGTGTCCTCAGACTGCGAAGTCTGAGAACCGCGGTGACACCTGCATCTACCTGCTGCCCCGACTCGACTCTGGGAGGGAGAGTGAGTGGCCAGTCCAGGAGGTGGGCTGCTCGGTTCCCCTGAAGGCGGAGGCGGGAGCTGGTAAAGCGCTTTACAACTACACTATTACCATGGAGCGGCGCTTTCCCGAGGGCCAGGACGGGCATCCGGATTTCTTGCAACCTCCCTCCTCGACCACCACGGAGCCTGTGGCCTACAACATGGTGATCCGTGCTCCTGCCTCTCTTCACAATCACCTTCCTGTCCCCATTACCTTCTACCTCTGTGTAAGTGAACTTTTTGTTATTTCTTGTTTTGGCTTACTTTCTGAACCATTTACATATCCAAAAGTTTTATAGGTGGCGCAGTCCCCTAAACAGCAGAATCCTGCACAATTGTATTCTTTATCTTGAGAATTGGTAAAACCTTGAAGTAAAAGTCCACTTCACCTTTTGGAGCAATCTCAGTGAAGCATTTATGGGGATTGAACTCAGGCCTTTACCTACTTAGTAGCTTACCATGCAGTATAGCACCTCGCTGACTTAATAAAGAAAACCCACTCTCAGTCCCATTTCTGCATACACTGAATTTCTGCAACTTTTCGACTTCCTAATTAACTTCTCATCGTTTCCTTCGTCCATTGTATTGTTTCTTTGTTAAAATTTAGGATGCAATTTCGACCGTAGAACCAGGTCACACCGCTGTTCTTTCATCTGTCAAGTCTAGTGGATTTTCGGTTTCGGTCAATGTAAGTATTGTTGTAGAGTTTGCTGGATGTGCCTAAAACGAGTTTCCTCACTAATTGCGACACTTTCCCACAGTTCACATATAATAAAAAGGACTATTTGGGCGCGATTAATATCAGCAACAGGACTGAAGAAATGTCGTTACTGCCTTGTGAAACTCAGGATGGATATGACATTTCTCTCTTGGTAAGTTGTTGCCACCTCTTAAGGGAAACTTATCGTAGACAGAAATCCATTCACTGTCTTACACGACTGCCGTTTTTAGAACCTGGGTCTACGCTGTTCGCGTCGCTTGGGTCATATCGACTTAACCGTCTACTGCCCCTATTGGTTGGTCAACAAAACTGGTCTCTCTCTTACTTACAAGGTACAATAAAGTTTTCTGCGCGCTTTACTTTTTTTGCTCGATTTAAAATCTAGTTCGGGATAATCACGCTCCCTTGAGTTGCATTATTAAAACAGATTTTCTTTAGTGGAAGTATTATTTGACTGCAAGTATGCTATGTTATGACGTCAGAGTTTTCCTCCACAAGTGCCTCTCATTTTGGAAATAAAAGCGGCAAAAACATATCTAAAAAACCATTTGTTTATGTAAATCTTTTACGACACTAAACAAATACTGCACACTTTTATGCTCTTGACATTTTTTTTGCTTACGATAACAACTGCCACCTACAAACATTTGTGCACAGTTGCTCTGTAAAGCGTTCCCGCAGCATAGGTATTCTCCATTCTCTTGTCATTATTTTTAATTGACTGTAACATAGTTCTTAGGATAAATTTTTATTTCGTAGTCTATACATAACTAAAATGGCTTTTTACCGTCACACGTGCGGGTTTACATTTATAAAATTGTATTCAAAATGTCAAATGAGAAGTTTTTTCTCAGGTTTTTCATTGGTTTCAGTCAGACCATTTAGACCTTATGCTAGCATTTTTCCGCATTTGCAATCACTGCGCACCATTTCCAATCATGGCTACTTCACTTTTCCACTGATTTTTACACAGTGGACATGCATCGTATAGCGTCGTATCTTTAACCTGCTTTTGCACTTTTCTTGCGATTTCGCAAGTCTTCTTCAAAGTCATGGGTTAGATTGTACACGCACATAGCCATGTCCTGAATAGGAACTCTTCAAAATTCCAGAACCGGTTACAGTACTGGCGTCAGCTCTATGGCTTTCCCTTTCCCACTAAGCTCGAGTTTTTTGCATTATCGCAATATGGTATTCTTAAGACCTTACTCCGCTAGTTACTGGTCAAATCGAAAAGTGCACTTAGAGTAAGCTGGTGCGATTTGCCTTTTGTGTTGGGTAGAGGTATTATGTAACTACTAATCTACTTCTCTACATCCTGCCATGCTTGGGTTGGTTTTCCAATGCATGTTCACCCGTTCCCAAATAGTAGACTGCCGCTATAGTGACTCTTTTTCATACATTTTTCTGCTGTTTAGGATCAAAATGAACTCGAGTTTCACCATCCTGCTGGATTCTCGGATGTTTTCCTCTTCTCCGTCACATCAAAGACTGCGTTACTCCAACACAAGGTTTGCGATTTTAACATTCTAATACACAAATGACGAGAAACGAATGTTTAAGGTAGTCAGCTCAAATGGATACATGTAGTATTGGGGTTTAATGTTGACTTTTTTGCTTATTTGAATGACGTTGACGTTAATAAATGCTCACATAACAGACAGAGCGATCAGTTATATTCTTCGAAAAGAGTTTACCAATATGTCTCAAACCTAGGTCTCATAATTCCTTCACCCACTTTCGTGATCTGATTTCGTTAAAGTTGATGTGAATTTTTAACGTAATTGGATGTCCACTGGAGGATTAGTTACTTTACTAATTCTAAAGTTATCTTCAAAAAGTAACATCATTCATACTTTTCAAATTTGTAAGATAGTATCACTGAGAAAGACACTTAGGGGCTTATAAGCGCCAAATAGTTTTGAAAATGATAGTATGGTTTCCCTCTGCCTTCAGCCTTCTAGTAAACTTCATCTGCAGCCCGTCAGTAGCACAGATCACGAGAATGCTGCTAGCGATGCAGTAGCATCGACATCATCTGAGCACAATTGCTCCAAGCCTTTCCACAGCATGCATCGTGGAATTCGTCTGATTCAGAAAGTGAAGGTGGTCATTCAAGCCTTCAATCCACTTTCCTACACACACACATGTGCATTAGATTTAGCACTTGATTGCGCATAACCTGTGCATGCTGTCTCCTCTTACCTACCTATTGTTTCGTTACTCCGTCGTGATGGCTTGCTTGTCATTTATGCCAAAGTCGTAACGCCAGTACTATTTAAGTCAGCGAGGAAAATACAAGGGATGTTCAAGTTCAACCGAGGTTTGAGTCTATAAAAAAACGCAGAATTTCAAGGAGTACAGACTGCGTCTATTTTCCGCCATAATCCTCTACTACTGAAAAACTTCGGTCTAGAACGATTTATCAGTGTCACCGAGCCATCCTAACTTGCTTCTCTTCATCATCAGTCTTGGTGGCCGCTTTGTGCTGACTTTTCAAAATTGTGAATATTCGCGCGTGTTTGTGTTTGAAAGATTAGTCTCCTGTTCGGCAGGTTATATTTCCATTATCCAGAGTCGGCCATTTCAGGGCCGTCATTGAAATATTTACATCAAACGAGTTTATTACTACGGCCGAGTGTCCCATATCCGTACCGTGCTTGAAGCCTTCTGCAGATGTAAGACTTTTACGTCTTTGTTCATACGAGGCTTAACCGTCACTCCCTGTAGTATGTATGCACTACTAATGGTGCTCGCCATCTTGAATAACGGTGCCAAGACGTACCGCTACAGTGGCACCCCTTTTTATAGGTGTAGGGCCAACAATCCGGATTGGACATGAACGCCATTTAGCTGAAGTTCGTTTCATTCTATCTAACATTGTCAGGCGCATCATTCTTGTCAATGAAACCACCAAGCCCTTGAGCTTCCAAATTTACTTCTAACACCTCAGGCCTCAATATCCATCCGATTCTGATGAGGAATGCGGTGCAAACTGTTTGAATAGTAGTGCCCTCTTTAAGCACGAGATGTGGCATTGTCCCTGCCAAGAGACAGCGCATTAAAATGGTCCTTGTAGTCCAAGTTCTTCCACTGCTAACACGTGAACGCTTGCTTTGAAGTGTTGTTTTGCTGTTAGCGCGCTTTTCTGGCTGCTCTTTGTTGTAGAGGTGCAGTGTGTCTTTTTGTGCACGTTCTCCCACTGCACAACCTGGAGATCCGCCCCTGAAGCCTTACATACAGGCGGCTAATGATGTGGAACTGCTAACCTTGGTTTATTGAGCTTTCCCCTTTTATTTTGAAATTTCAGATTGCAATGCGAACAGAAGACTCACTTTGGTCCTCTAAGTTCTCCCTTGACACGGTTGGAAGTTGGGACCGAGTACATTGCGAGGGAAAGCTCGGAAGGTCTTACGAGGTCTGTTTGAGGTTTTTCGTGTGCGCTTTTCTGAAAACTTTTTGCTAGTAGAAATGTTTTTCCTTGAGTTAGGAAAACGAATCTTAATGAACGACTAAAATACGTTAAAATTTTGTTTGAGCTAGCCTGTCATCATCATTATTAAAAATAAACATTTTCTCGTCTTTAGATTGGTGTTAAGATAAATCTTTCGGCTTCCGGTCTCACGAAGATAATCACTTTTATGCCCTACTTCATGGTCGTTAACAAAACCTCGGTAAGATATATTTTCGTTCAGATTTAGTTCTTATTAATTAGCGTTTTTTTTTCATGTGAGATTTACGTATTTGTATTCATATTTTATGGGACTAAACAATTTGTGCGGAATATTCTGACGCTTTGGACTATGATGCTAAATTATTACCAATGTAGGTGGCTGTTGAGTGTGCGCAAGTTCGGGACATAGGGAAAAACATTCTTGACACTTGGATTCCCATCAAAGCTGGTGATGTGAAACCGTTTTGGCCGGCCACTGGCGACACTCAGAAGATGCTAATGACTTGTCGCGTGGATCAGAAAGTAATCACTGACTACTTCCCCCTTTACGAATCAAACACTGTTCTTCTGAAGCTACCCAATCCCGTATGTTCACTAGCTTTCACTATTCCATTTTATTCCTTTGTTCCCAGTTTCATGCACTCGCTAATCTCTTGATATAATGTCTGTTCGTCGGAAAAAAAAGGCGTTTTGATGACTGCTACTTATTTTTAGTACATTGGTTTGTACACGGATGTTCAGACAACGGATGAAGCCACTGTTATCAACCTCCAGCTTTACAAAGAAGGGATGGCGTTGGTGCACATCATTAACGATATGGATGGTGGACGCAATGTCCACTTTTATCAGAAGTGAGCCATCACCAATGCTCTCTTAAAGCCAACTAAAATTTATCCCCACCCTCTCCTATCTATAATAAATTGAAATACAGAGAAGTCGATTGCGATCCTAGTACCCCATTAACTCTAATTTACATTAGCTGGCTGGAGGAGGAAAATTAGGTTTGTTGTTTTTACAATTTTTAGAGGCACAGGTGTAACACATACTCTAAAGTCAGGTTATCAAATGTTCTACACATGGGACGATGCCAGTAAACCACGGCAATTTTTCACCTTCGTAGACAATTCTCAAAAGACGAGGCAGGTGGAAATAACAACGGTGCGCGTACTTTTATTTCAAATTCATAATTTTCGCATAATTGGATTTATCTTTTTCGTATTTGTTAATTAAGCACAAATTCAAACCAAGCAAACGTCAGTTTGCGTAGGCAACTGCCTGATTCCAATACGTTCTTTTACTTGTAGGACAGTTATGAAACATTTGTGTCTGGAAACGCCAACATCCATGTTGTGTCTTTTCTTTCGAAACTTCAACGAACCCTTCTCTTCACAAACGACCCTACTGTTGCAAATTTGACAGCCAAAGTAGGTTGTTTATCATTACTTATCTACCTGGATATTTTGGTAATGTTAACAGCCCCACCCTATCCCTCTCAACGTCGTCTCACTTTTAATTAAAGTTGCATGTACTTTAGACAACATAAAATGTCATAATTATGGTAAAATTACGATTATGATTACTTAATCTGTGTTTGGAAATGTCTTACCTGAATATAGACTCCCGCATGAATGATTGTGCATCGATGTCAGTGCTAGCGGTGATATTATAATTCCATACTAGTTATTTGAAGTGATTATTACTCCCTATGCTAAAAGCCGAAGTACTAATGGCTTTCTTTCCCCACTTTGATTGACCACAAAAGAAGCTGACTTAAAACCGTTTATTGTGTTTGCATCTGCTCTTCTTTAGTCTGGGGAACTGGAGTCGGTTACTGATCGCATCTCGCTGGTACTTCAGTCTGTCGGGATTTCTTTGGTAACTAATCAGCTTCGCAAGGAAGTCTGCTACATCTCGATTCGCAGGTTTGCATACTGTCAAAACCTCACTCCTATTTTGTTGATTGTGTCTCCTCGCAGCTCAAAATCGGCTAACAGTCACACAAAGTTCCAATCTACTTCTATTTTTGCATTGCTAAAGGATTTTATGGCAATGTTGAATAGTCAAGGTTTTTCTGCTCCTTCTATGAAGGAAGATGAAAGGTTGAATACAACTTCACCGTATTGAGCCGTGAATTATATGAAAAATTGTGAATCGAATGTTCGAAAATTCACTAAGGAAAAGTATATCGAAGGGACGAAAAATTGTCGTCGTTGCAATCATGTCTATTATAGCATCTGAAGCGCCTGCAGATGCTGTACTCCTTTTGTTTTACTCCCCAGCTCGGATATCATATGGAACAAGATGAGACGAGGTAACCGACTGAAGCCTTTGAAGCCGGATGTGAGCGAGGCTCTAGAGGACGTCTACAACACCTTCCTTAACAGAGTCGCCCAAAATGAGGACTTCCCCAAACGTGTGACTCTGCCCGACACTATCCGGCCTACAACCACGGTAGACTTAAATCAGATGGTCATGCTGGAACCCGAAAACTGTACCCTCCAGCGAACTTTCGAGCCGGGCATGCAACTACAGTATCGCGCCTCGCCCAATCAAATACAAATTCACGCAAAAATCTTCCGAGTGCAAGTGGATTCGCAAAGACTTGACGCACACTTCCCTGTAGTCTTCGCTCCCTTCCCTCAGCCTACCTCCGTCGTTGTCGACTCTGGTACCCACTCTCAGCTTTTTTTTAGTCTTGAATCGAATTAATCTCGTGCTGTACTTCGTGATTGATGTAAATTAATCTTTATTTCTGTTGCTGATACCGTTGATGTATCCCTCAAATCTCATGCTTGTAATCACGCATTTATGACAGTTTCTTGTTTCACTTCCATCCATGCGTGCTAATAAATAATTCCAATTTTCGAGAAGTGGATTAGATATAATTTTTACTCATTTCTTTTTCAGGTTCAAAAGCCTTGGTTGAGGTATTCACCGTCATCTGCAAGACAACGGACGAGGAGGTATATCGATTCAAGTGAGTTTCTTAGAAATGCGCAATTATTGCCACCCCACTTTGACGTTGGTACTCTGATACTCTCATTTTCTCCCCATGTAGGCGTCTAGAGTGTTTAATTCAAGAGATGCAGTTTCAACTAGACCAAGGTTTTCTCAACGACATGATTGACTTCTTCGCGGGGAGCGTCATAATTCAAGACGAAGTAAGGCAGCGGATTTTCAAACGTGCATCAAACACCTCTTTTTTAATTACTAATTTGAAGCTGTTGTTTTATCACTCTTCAAAGTGGGAGTCATAGCATTACTGACGGCCACTGCTTGTGCCTCTACCTGTTTCGTGCCTTTTAGGGCTTTATTGTCTCATCCTTTTTACTCAATTCATTTCATGTCTGTTTCTGACTTGTGTACAAACTTCTTTGAGATGTTAGACCATGCAGAGGAGATCACAGTTTAGATTTGCGCGTTCAGTCTTGTGATTCATTAGCACAAAAGAATTGTAAACTTGTATTCACATTATTTGATAAAACTTCGCATCATGGACGCATTTTTCACCTAAGGATAGGTTTGTGTTTTTAACATTATTACTTTAACAGGATTCCTCTATTAGGTGGATTGGGTTAATCATTTTATCTATTAGGTTTGCTAAAATGCTTTCTTTGCTTTCATAACTTGAGTTTTCGGGGCATAATTTGCTTATTGTTCGCTTGTGACTCTTGTCGGATTCTGGTATTCTCAGCCTGATTCATTATCTCAAATGATTGGAATGTGAAGTAGAGCCTTCGCTTTTCGGTTATTCAAAATAGACGCGTAGCAACAAAGCCATATTTACTCATATCAATGTTTATTTCTTTTCAGCTTGTTGGTTTTCTCGCAGACCAGAAGCTCACAAGTGGCGCATTAGTTGACGCTCCTGTGGTGAAGGATGTATTACAGACTGGAAGGGAGTCCATTATCGACTACATTCACATTTCTCCAATCAAGGTATGTTTCTATCTGCATATACTAATAATTACATCTGTTAGTAGTACCCTCACTAAGCCTCCTAACATGGTTCTACTTACAGATGCACGTCAGTTTCTCCTTGCTTGGAAGCTCTCAAGAATCTCAACCGAGTGCCCTTCACAGTGATGTGCTCAAATTGTTCCTTCAGTCCCTAGGAGTCGCGCTCACAGATGTACAGGACGTTGTCTTCAAGTTAGTTTTTCTTTTCTTTATCATTCAAATTCCCCTTTTATCTACTATTTATAACTACATGGGTGATTTTATTGCTAATGGGCAAGCCCTTCTCTGAACCCCTTTGGATGTGTAGCATCCTCCTACACGTTAACTCGGTATATTTGTCTCAGAATTACTAATAAAAAAAACTTTCTGTAGCCCCTTTGTCCAATAAATTGGTGAAATATGACTACTTGGAAATTATTACCATAGGCTGGGCTACTTTGAGCGTCGAGGAAGAATAATGTCCTTCTCCAAAATCCTTACTGAGATGGGTCGTTACTATGCAGGCCAAGCAATTAAGCAGACCTATGTACTCATTCTTGGTTTGGATGTGATTGGGAATCCATTTGGCGTTATCCGCGGAATGGCACAAGGTGTGGAAGATCTTTTCTACGAACCTGTTAAAGTAATTTCCTATTGTGTATTTTGAACTTTATCACTCTCCGCTCTGAACTTAATGAGTCTATGGCTAATCGCTTGAATTTATATGCTTGAAAAACAATTAATTTAAAAATAGTATTCTTTGATTATCGGATAGGAACATTAGCAATCTCCTATCACATGGATAGTCTCATTTGTAAATTCTTGAATTTTTAGTGTGTTGACTTGTGCAAATTTACTGACCGTATTAAACCGCCTTTCGGCATGCTCGGTTGCGCTCAACACAGGTCAAAGATTATGCATACTGCTAACTTTAGTAATTACACAGCTATAGATTTAACCCTATTTTCACGTTAAGCCCCACTACTAATGTTTGCCACTGCTTTAGGGGGCCGTTGTTGGAACAGAGGAATTTGCTGAGGGTGTTGCGTTGGGAGTAAGGAGTCTCTTCGGCCACACCGTTGGTGAGTTTTATTTCTAGTAGTAAGAGCATTTTGCACAATCATAACTTTACCCGTTGTTTTGCCGGACAAAGCGTTTTGCATTCATTGGAATGAAATTAACATATGTAGCGTGTTTGGTATTCCTTTTGCGACGTGACTAGGTGGCGCCGCGGGTGCGATGTCGCGCATCACAGGCACCCTGGGCAAGGGTGTGGCGGCGTTAACCCTAGACGACGAGTACAAGCGTCGGAGGCGCGAAGAGATGACCCGAACGCCTGATAACTTTGGCGCTGGCATGGCTCGGGGTGGCAAGGGCCTCGTCATGGTAAGTACCCTTCCTCTCCCCCCACCCATATTCTCTGTCACCTATGTTTAGTCTACTTGAGAAATGCTACTTTCAATTCTGTGGTGTTTTCGACCTCAACCTTCTCTCGTATGAAAATGTATGCGTTTTTTAACTACCGGTTCAAACTTAATGGCCAAATTAATCTTTGTACGTCAGTTTCAATTCGACTACAACTTTCATTAAGCGTATAATCTGTAATACTATGGGAAAGTGCAAACAACGTTTTCGGTGTGCTTTTCATTTTTGACAAAGTTTTTTTCACTTTCGATACTGGTTTTTAGTAACGCTATAATCATTGTCTTTCTTATTAACTTTTTGGGACTGGAAAAAGAGGAATATAAAACGTGTGTATTTTTTGCATTCACTTGTCAGGGTGTTGTCGGTGGTGTGACGGGCATCATCACACAGCCAATATTGGGAGCCAGAAAGGAGGGTGTGGAGGGCTTTTTCAAGGGTCTTGGCAAAGGCCTCATCGGCACCGTAACTCGACCCGTCTCCGGCATGGTTGATTTTGCCAGCAGCTCCTTCGAGGGCATTCGAAGGTCCGCATCCCGCCAGGCATTTAGACCCACCGAATGCACACTGACTTCACTCTGCTGTTTGAATCCTTAGATCACTGTGTAGCGGCATATTCTCAAGTTATATGGAAGAGGTTTTTAAAAGGAACTTTGGTCTTTTGAATGCACTAAGATAGTACTAAATTGTCTTATCTATGTAAATGTTTTGGCATGCACTAATTCATTGCTTTTTTGCAATTTTATCGTCTACGAAATTCAAAGCATCTTAAAAATTCAGAGGATGGTTGTTTTAACTTGTAGCCGTTTTGTGTTGGTTGTCTTGTGTGCGTCAACCACTCTTCCTTTGCTGTTTTTAGAGCCACATCCACCTCAAAGGACGTGCTTCCAGTTCGTCCGCCGCGGTTCATCCATTTGGATGGCGTCATCCGTCCCTACGATCGGAACGAAGCTGAAGGAAGCATCATTCTCAGTGTATGCTCGAATGCATACCATCTAGCACCCCCGCTCACATTTCATTGATGTCTTTTCAATGGGCCATCTTTAAACTGTTTCAGAGGCTTCGCGACAGATCTCCATCTGAGGATTATGTCTTCCACATACCACTGAGGCGAAACAAGGGTATCTGCATGTTGACTACCGAGTAAGTCTGCCTCCTTTTACATGGCGTGGAGCAGGTGTGGGATTGTCAAACGCTTTCAAACGTTGGTTCCAGATAAATAGGAGTACAAGCGCGATGATTTTCCCACTACTTTGCAATTATTTTGCTGTTCACCAATTGAGAGATGTCCAAATTTGATAATTTTCTAACTACTAGATGTGATTTGCTCACTTAGGCGAATCCTGCTGGTGACAATGAACGAGATCTTGGGCAGTTGCACAATTGATTGGCAGGCTAAATTGTCCCAGCTCAGCGACTCACAGCATAAATACGAATACGGTTTGGAGCTCCAGCTTGGCAATGCCTCCAAGACAAAGCTCTTCGGCGGTGCTTCCAACGTGAAGCAGATTGAATGCACTCCCGATAACGCTTTGGTAAGGGTTTTGGATTCAGGAGCTAGTGATTCCTGAGTCTTAGTGTTAAGCTCATTTTCATTATATTAAGATATTTATGCTAGATTTTAGGTTGTTCTACATTCCATTAATTTTCTCCAAACTTAGTGCTATGCACATGAAGATTGTCGCCACGGTTACAACTTGAGTATTCTAATTTAATTAAAACTTGCTGAAAGGTACATGTGCGATCTTTGTTTGGATTTTGAGGTGGTCAAAATGGTGTCATTTATCTCTTGAAAGCCAGGAATTTTAAGATAGTGGAGATTGTGTGACCGCGGAAATCATGCTCACGTCCTTCGCCACATTCGTAGTCGGTACTAGGCGCGTCAGCGGTCAGTCGAATGTAATGCAATGTAGATCTCTAAAAACAAGCTTTTTTTCAAAAAAAACTTTGCACTGCTTTTGCTTGGACTAAATTAATGTCACAAAGGTCAGAATAAACACGGCAATACTACTGTGATATATTCTCTTGTATTAGCGGTACCTTGTTTAATTTAGCGAATGCTTACAAAGATACGGATGCTTGTGGGCGAGGATCCCAGCGATGGGCAGACTATCCCTTCTAATCGAGTTTGCTGAAGCTGAATAATTTCAGCCATGTGGCGCCTCTGTGGTGTTCTATTCATCTCTTTCATGAACCCTGTACTTCCCTGTTATACCACCTAATTTTGATGCGCAACTTTCAAGATTACCCGTAAATGTTTCGTATGTTTTAGAAAACGTCTACCATATTGGCTCATTGCTGCTTTATAATGTTTTGCTATTAGTGATTTAAAAGGAGGGGGAAGACATATGTACTTGTGAAAAATGAATTAATAAGTCCAAAATAGGCCTCTCTTGTAGATTCTATTTTAAAAATAATTAAAGCGGTGAGTAGGTTGTTCACGGAGCAAGACAAGCGCAAGTAGCTCCTTTGTGGTAGTATTTAGAATGGGTGTTATGTAGAGTTTTGGGATTTCCTTGAAGAGGCAAAAAGACGTAAAAATTGGGCAGAGTATATGTATATTCGGCATGCAGTAGAGGTTGGGGCTACTGGCATGGCCCAGAGCCCAGCCCACCTGGTGTAGGTACAATAGCAGAGCCCCTAAGTGGTTCATTACCAAGACGTAATACAAAGCCCTCCTCTTTTGGGCAACATTCCCCACGCCAGCCATCACAACGTAGTCAGTGCTGTAATGGAAACACCTACAACTCATTTGTTCCAGTCATTGAATGCTCATGC